GTCATGGGCGATATGAAGACGAATCTGCTCTCAGTGTGTTGCCTCCCTGTCCGACGCTCGGTATTTCTCGTGTCGTTTCGGTCCACTCAGCCACAAGGGTCTGCCTCTTTCTTCGTCCTTCTCTGGTCGGCTTTTCCTGTCCTCTCCCTTGGGGGCGTGGGTCGAATGCCGCGCGTCCTCCCGAAGACAGGTCATGTCGTCTGTGTAATGGTCATGATGCAGACTTGGAAGGGAGCATGTGTCTTCTTTCTTTCATCCATCCCAATGGCATCCGACAATCATAGCAGCTTCCGTCTCTCTAGTCAGAGTTGGCGACCAGCATCAAGGCAATTGTTGGGCCCTTGGTTGACTGATTACCTGGTTTTCTCACTTACTCACCTGTCGACCACGATGTCGTCTTTGTCTCCCTTTGTCTCATTATTTTGGTGAGCAGTTTGAGGTCAGAAAGTGAATCCTACAGTTCTCTACCGCAGCAGGCTGTGTGACTCACCAGGCGATGAGTCAAATCAGCTCATGATTTGTACATGTACTCATCTTCCCCTTTCCTCGCCTCTGAGGAAGCGATAGCTTTTGTTTAATTCCCTCCTCAGGACTCATTCTTGGAAAATGATTCGTTCGACAACGCTCAGTGTTCGTCTAGCTCCGGGGATCCGTCACACAGACACGCTTGTCGGTCAGCGGGGTGTTCTAGAAGTCTGCCTGTCTGTACACTGCACGTACGGGTGCGTAATTCGATGCCAGCCAGCCCCTCTCTGCCAAACATTCACCTCATGCATTCCACTCACTTCCCTACCACACAGCCAGCCAGCCAGCCACCCAATCCACCCAGCCCATCCAGACGTGTGCTTTGAAGAACCCGAGAACGTACAAGGACACGCAGCACCATCGAATCAACACCCCCTTCGTGTGTGTGCGACCAGCCAATACAAAAGAAAAAAGTCACGGGAAGAAGTCAAGGAAAGAAGTAGGCAGGCTGAATGGAAGGCTATCTCTATCAGTACACACGCTATGCGTGTGTTTTATTGTTGGCGCGACATGTTTAGTTTTCGTAGTACTCGGGGTTGGGGTGGAAACCGACCTTGTGGGGGCCTGCACACATGGGAGGAAAATGAAGGGGAAGGGGGATGGACCACACACAGACAACACCACGATGGATAGATAGATAGATGGAATTGCAGCTGTTCATTTGCCTCTTGTAGTTGGTTGCTGGCTTTGTCTGTGTACCTGGGTAGAGGTTCATCTCCTGCTCTTGCTGCACTCATCCAGGTACACATCGACAAGGAAAGGACTCATGGTCGAACACCATGCATCGGTGTATGGTAGTTTCCTATAACGTACCGAAGGCAAAAGCCCCTCGTCGACGGAGTTCTCGAGGAACGTGATGGCGGTGGGGAGGCAGCCCAGCAGCAGGAAATCCATGACGCAATGCACGATGCTGAGCACACATACACACATATATCCGCATACGCTTGGAAGCGTCAAACGGCATTCTTCTCCCTCCCTCCCTCCCTTTGCCACACAATTGTCCATCCATACGTACATTTCGACTTCCACGTCGACGACTTGCATTATCTCCCCCAGGACGTAGAACAAAAAGTAGAAGCCGATCAACACACTCGTGCTCGTCGACAGAAAGTTGTACGTCCACTGACAGACAGACAGACAGACAAACGGATACACAGGTACATCCATCACCCGCACCCAATCCCACCCATGTGCTATGTATGTATGTTTGGATACACACCGATGTGTGGCGTACCTGCACCTCAGCGTCGACTACGTTTTGGGCGATTTCGAATGTGAGGAGGTAGGTGTACACCACGTAGACGGCCAGAGCGAAGCCCCAGAACGACCAGCGGCCATCCCATTCCACCAGAAGACCTGCAACAGTACACGTGGACCCAAACACGCGGAACAGATGCTAAGCAGTCCTTTGTAGGCATGGTAGGCAGGTCATTCGCACCGTATCGGAGTGAGGTGACAATGATGCCCCAAAGCACCATCAGCACCAGCTGCATGTACCGGGTCGCCCTGACGTACACACACACAGGTCGGTAGATACACAGACCAACACAGAATCGCATCCATGTGGCCATTCATTCACCGTATGGTACCTGGCCAGGTGTGAGACTGCGTATCCGAGCAGTGCGCCGCCGACGAGTCGGCCTATGTATCGCAGCTGCAGCGTCACGCGGTAGTGGTCGCCCGTCTTGTCGGCATACAACTCCTTGCCCACGCCGAAACTCATACCTGCACCATCCGCACAGCAACCAGAACAATGCGGCACAGATGCATCTGTCTGGGTGCTGTCCATCCCTCCCTCCCTCCCTCCCTGGTCTCTTCATCAAGTAGGTACCGAGGTAGGTGAATGCGCCGGTGAGGAGTACGGCCATACAGATGTTGTCCGAGTTGATGGCCCTTTTCTGGGTGGCGGTGATGGCCCGCACCCACATGAACAGACCCAACGCAGACAACACACCGAACGTCGTCCACTGCACAAAAAAAAAGACATCACAAAACATGGATGGATGGATGGATGGATGGATGGATGGACACACCGCGGGCGGGTGCATGGATCTGTTCGATTCGAAAAGTGCCCTCACCAGAGTGATGCTCGAGGTCTGGCTGATGTCATCGTAGAGGGAGCTGTCAACGGAGTTGATGTCCATGGCGTTCCGGGTGAGCTCCACACGTCGGACGTGTGGCTGATGGCGCAACGCACGGAGGGCTGCTCCCCTTTCCTGGCCGACGAGATGCGAGCTTACACCTGACGATCCGCCCCTTTTCGTGAGAGAGAGGATCTGTGTGCAGCATGAAGCCATCCTGTGCAGCCACAGCCGTGTCTGTCTTCGTTGCGCTCGTTTCAGCATGCTGTGCGACAGGACCGCCACGACTATCGTCAGCCCTGCCCGTCATGGAAGATGCGGCATTTGTCATGCCCGCCCTGCAGCCAGTGCGTCGGTCAGTGCGCCGCATGAGGCCTCATTCAAGTCCATCTGTCAGCAGTCTGCAGCGTGTCCAGCGGGACCCGAGTGCTCTGCGAGCAACCGAGGATGCCGCCGCATCGAAGAGGAGTCGTGCGTATGAGGCCTACGTCAAGATCAGCGACGTGCTGACGAACCTCTTCCCCCTTTGGGTCAGTCACACATAGAGAGGTCGAGGCGTTGCGATGCAGCGTGCACTGTCTGTCTGTCTGTCTGGTTTGTTCGTCTGCCTGGCTGGCTGGATGGCTTGTTGCAGACCGTTCTGTTCTCATACATAGCATTGATGAGCCCCGCGTCGTTCAACTGGTTCACGACAGAGTACTTCACGGGTGCGCTGGCCGTCCTGATGCTGTCGATGGGCATCACTTTGACGCCGCAGGACTTCATCGAGGTCCTCAAGCGGCCGGCGAGTGTGGGTGTGGGGCTGGTCGGGTGCTATGCACTGATGCCCTACCTCGCCAAGCTCCTCGGAACCGTCGCGGGACTCGACAAGACACTTGCCGCAGGTACATGTGTACGCACGTAGACATAGGGGTGCTGTGCTGTCTTTGTGCACATTGCTGACTGTGTGGTTGGCAGGTCTGGTGTTGGTAGGGTGCATCAACGGCGGGCAGGCGTCGAATTTGTGCACGTACATTGCCCGGGGCGACGTGGCGCTGTCGGTGCTGATGACGACGGCCACAACCATCGGCGCCATCTTCGCGACGCCCCTCCTATGCAAGGCCCTGCTGGGCACCAGTGTGGCGCTGGACGCTGTCGGCATCGTCAAGAGCACCATGACAGTCGTCCTGGGACCCATTGCTGTCGGCATGATGGCCAACAGGTTCTTCAACAAAGCTGTCAAGGTAGGTGAGTCAGGTAGTGTGTCACATGAATGAACTGAGGAACAGCCAGCCAAAGACAGACAGACAGACAGACAGACAGACAGGTACCAGCTTGAATGAGTGAGTGGATTTTTATGGATGGATGCATGGATGGATGGATGGATGGGTGGGTGGATGGACGGACGGACGGCACGTATGTTGCTGTGTTTCATTCCAGGCGATTCTGCCGGTGACGCCCCTGGTGGGTGTGATATCGACGTGTCTGCTGGTTGCGTCGTCGGTGGCGCAGGTCAGCCAGCCTATCCTTGACGCGGGCATCAAGCTGCAGATACCCATCATCCTCCTCCACCTACTGGGGGGGCTCTTTGGCTTCTTCATTCCCAAGGTCAGACACTCACTGCCACCGATGGCATGAACCAACACAAAGAGGCCTCCGGGACCGTGATGCATTCATTGTGTCGTCTCGTGCATGTCGTGTTCGCCAGGCGATGGGTTTGGGTGAGGTTGCGGCGCGGACCATTGCGATCGAGACGGCCATGAAGTCGTCGGCATTCGGCTTCCTCCTTGCCAAGCTGCACTTCGCTGACTTCGCGGTCAGTCAACGTGGATGGAGAAAACACTGTTGACTCCCCTCTCACCATTCTGTCTGTCTGTCTGTCTGTCTGTCTGCGCGTCGTGTCAGGTTCGTGTGCCCCCTGCGGTGTCTGTGGTGTGGATGGCCGTCACCGGGGCCACGCTGGCAGTCGTCTGGAGGTACACACCACACCACACCACAGCACATCCATCCACTGAACATATATCCACCTGCATACACATGTGCCGTTCACTTGTTCATGTGTGCGACGTCAATTTCCTCTCTTTGCGTAACATTGGTGTAGGTTCATCCCCGTGAGTGAGGATCGGCGGCAGGAAGGGCTGAATGGTCTCAGCAGCGAGCAGAGCCCGAACATCCCTCCCGTACTCAAGGGCGAGCTCGCAACAGCCTGAAAAGAAATGTCCTGTTCGGTTCCTTCCTCTGGCGTGCTTTGGCTCATTCGCTGACTGGCTGAATGAATGAAGCGTGTGTGCGTGTCGCTTCACTGGTTGGTTGGGCACATGAATGGAAGTCAGGCAAGGCAAGTCAAGTCAGGAGTATCTTTAAATTCAGACAGGCAAAGACAGCCTGTGCACCGCACCTCGTTCGTCGTCGGGTGTGGTGTGTGTCGTGTGTACAGTCATTCTATCTTGCTTCCCTCCCTCCCTCCCTCCCTCCCTCATTGGTGTCTGGATGGATGGATGGATGAATTGATGGATGGATGGACTGTGTATAGCTGCCTGCCTGCCTGCCTGGTGCTGTCCGTGAGGGCTGCAAAGTCGTGGGTGGGGCTTTGTTGGCGAGCGGGGGGTAGGGAGGGCACGTACGGGTGAGTCAGTGTGTGGGTGCGATGCACTCGCTCGTTGTGGTTTGTTTGGAGTACGGACTGACTGACCGACTGACTGACTTGACAGAACAGAACAGCAGAGCACAGCACAGGAGACTACCGCACCGTCTATCGCATGCCTTGAGAGGGAGGGGAATTCGTGTCTGCCTGTCTGTCTTATTCGCTCTATCCATCCATCCACCCATCCACCCACCCACGACACTGCTTGGGTCACACAGAAGAGGTTTTTCTTCCGTCCGTCGGCCGTTGTGGGTGTGGTCGATAGATGGACACGCCACAGCTCACTGCCACACCCTCCCTCCCGCACACTCTTCTTTTTGAAGAGAAGCACCACACCACACGTCAGCACCAAGCCGTCCTGATCGCATCGCATCTACCCTCTCGCGCCCTCAGACGCCGCTTTCAAGCAAGCATGTATGCATTCACACACCTTGTTTAAGTCTTTCTAGCGAGCTACCCTGTGTGATGGTTGGCGTCGGACATGTAGTGGGGGTAATCGGGCCTGTAAATAAACAGATGTCGCGTCCGTATGGCTGCGGGGTGCCTGTGTGTTGTCATGTCATGACTCATTGTGGCCGTGTACCTACCTCTTCGTCCTTCGTCTTCACTTGCCACCCTCCCTCCCTCCCTGCCTTCAGTGTCGGAAACTGACCGACCCATTTTGTTCCAGTTTTGGCTGAGCTTTTATGCTGACTGATGTGGAGGCATTGGTCCAGTCGTCATCCGAGTGCGCCAGTCCCACCGCAACAGACCGATGACATGATGGGCTGAGTGCTTAAAGCATTCACTTCATAAGTGTGCAGGCCGTCCGTCAGAGAGTCAGCCGGTCACCTCCACATCACTCACGCACGCCACGGTCCACGCCACAGGCAAGCAAGCGACACGCATGCACCTGCCGGCATAAAAGCGGCCGTCCGTCCGTCCAGCAAGGCATGGGACAGCTCCTCCCTCCGTCCATGGGCGCAGTGTGTTGTGTGTGAGGCTATCTATCTATCCCTCTTCCTGGACGTTTTCCGTCTGCAGTCCCTTGAAGCTCTCGACGGGTACGTGCTGCACGAGTGTGAACATCTTCTCCTTGGCGTCCTCGTCCTCGTTGCGCTTGCGGGACATGCGGACCCGGATGCGGCGGGGGAGGTTCCTGATGCCCTTGCTCCAGATGTGCTTGTTCAATTTGGTGTCGATACGCACATCCTGCACACAACACAACACAACCACACAAACACACAGACGGCGCACACAACACACCAGGACACGTCGTTGCGGCGCGGCGAGAGGGAGGGAGGGTGGGTGGCTCACACGGTTGCTGAGGTGCGTACCTTAGTGTTCATGACCTTCTTGGCGAACTGTTTGATCTCCCGGACGGCCCTGGGTGCCCTCTTCTTGAAGGCCACGCCGTGGATCAGCTTCCGCACGTGGATCGTGTAGTCACGAGTCGCCGGGTCAAGAGACCGCTTCGCACCCTTGCGCTTGTCGCCTGGGGTACGACACACACCACCACACACACACACACACACAACACAGATGTGCCCGTGCGCGATGCGAGGCAGTCGAAGCTGATCTTTCCAGATCTCATCCCTCCTCCTTCCTACCTTTCGCCATCGCGCTGTCGAAGCGATTTCGTGCCTCACTTTCTGCGATGAAGCTCGCACATTTAAGCTCGCAGTCAGGAGACTAGGGCTCCGTGAAAACCCTGCTGTTGGAGGCTTGTGTGTCGAGAGGATGTCCCACCGTAAGTTCGAGCATCCCCGGCACGGGTCGCTGGGATTTCTCCCGCGGAAGAGATGCCGACACCCCAGGGGCAGGAGTGAGTGACGCGCACAACACAACGCGCAACACACGGCACACGGACGGGCAGATCTGGCACACAGAGGCACCAGGGGGGAGGAGGGGAACCACACGACACCCAGCCAGGCCCACCTGTGGCTTCTCGCCTCGTCGCTCATCTGTGTGTGGCCTTGTTTCCCTCCCGCCTCTGTTCCCTGTGTGCTGTATTGTGTTGACCGTGTCAGTCAAGGCGTACCAGAAGGACAAGCCGAGCGAGACCCCCAACCTGGCTGCCTTCATGGGCTGGAAGGCCGGCATGACACACGTCGTACGGGAGATCGAAAAACCCGGATCAAGTGAGGCGGGAGGGAGGGCAGCACAAAGACAGACAGACAGACAGACAGACACCACACACGCACCAGGAGGGAGTCAGAGGCAGACAGCACACACAGGGTGTTCCGCGTGTTGGGTTGGTATGTCGATCGATCTGTATGTCTGGCGTGTCTGTCTGCGTGTGACTTGATGTCAGAGCTGCACAAGAAGGAGTGCGTTGAGGCGGTGACGATAGTGGAGTGTCCCCCGCTGGTGGTGGTGGGCCTCGTGGGCTACATCGAGACACCCAGGGGCCTCCGCGCTCTCACGTCCGTCTGGGCAGGACACCTCTCGGAGGAGTGCAAGCGACGATTCTACAAAAACTGGTCACCCACACGCACACACAGACAGACAGAGAGACCGTCCACTGGCTCACGTGTGTGATTGTGTGTGTGTTGTGTTGTGTTGTTAGGTATCGTTCGAAGCAGAAGGCGTACACCAAGTATGCCAAGCGTTACCAGGAGAACAACAAGATGGACGCCGAGCTCAAGCGCATCGCCCAGTACTGCACCGTCGTCCGCGCCATCGTACACACACAGCCACGACTCGCAAAGACCGGACAGAAGAAGGCCCACATCGCGGAGATACAAGTCAACGGCGGACGCGACGTTGCACACAAGGTCAGCCAGCATTCGGCGGACGGACATCACACAACAGGAGTCCGATACCTCTGTGTGCGGATGTGTGTGCGTTGCGTTAGGTTGAGTTCATCACCAGTTTGTTTGAGCAGACCATCTCTGTGAATGCCGTCTTCAACGAAAACGACGTGGTCGACATCATCGGTACGCAACCCTCACAGGACCAACACAGACGGGACAATGGATGGACAACATCACATGAAACTCCTGTGTAGGTGTGACGAAGGGCAAGGGCTACGAGGGCGTGGTGACCCGCTGGGGCGTCACCCGCCTCCCACGCAAGACCCACAGAGGGCTCCGAAAGGTAACCAAGACATCCCCTTCCCATCCATCCCAGCTTCCTTGTTCATCTGGTCCTCACGGTGCGTTGCGCTACATTGGCTGGTTTGTTTGTTGGTCAGGTTGCTTGCATCGGTGCGTGGCACCCGGCCCGCGTGCAGTTCCAGGTACCGCGTGCCGGCCAGCGTGGGTACCACCAGCGGACGGAAATCAACAAGCGCATCTACCGTGTCGGCCTCAAGACCAACGCACACAACTCGGCCGCCACCGAAGCAGACGTCACACAGAAGGGCATCACACCCATGGGTAGGCAACCAACCAGCACAGGAACCAAGCAAGGAAATTCTCTCAACAGACGGACCCGTAGAGAAGTGAATGTGCCGGTGTTGCCTGTGTGTGTGTCTGTTCCCTAGGTGGTTTCCCGCACTACGGCGAGGTGAACGAGGATTGGTTGATGCTCAAGGGGTGCATCCCGGGACCCAAGAAGCGACTCCTCACCGTCAGGAAGACTCTCTACCCGCCGGTACATCAATGCGTCAACTGAATGAGGGAATGAATGAGGGATGGATGGATGGATGCCTGACATCCATGCCTGTACGTGTGTGTGTGTGTGTGTGTGTCTGGATGGGATGTATGCTGTGTGTGTAGGTGGTCCGCAAGGAGACTGCCGAGGGTCAGACGAACGTCATGGGCATCAAGTTCATCGACACGTCATCCAAGTACGGCCACGGGCGCTTCCAGACCTCAGAGGAGAAGGAGAAATACTACGGACTAACCAAGGTCATCCATTCACTGCACGCATCAACCAACACACCCACCCACCCCTCCCTGCCTCCATCGCACCGCATCACATCACATCGATTGTGTACTGTATTGCAGAAAAAGTTGGAGCGCCAGGCCGAGGGGGTGGCCGATGTCGAGGACTGATGAAGTGCGGGTCGGATGGCCGGCTTTCATGCTTCTATGTGTCGGTGGTGGCGCGGCTTGTGTGGCGTGGCCAACACACCTCTGCCCTGCCAGCAGCTTCATCGATGCCTGCCTGCCTGCCTGCCTTGTGGTGTTTTGTCGCGACGAACCTTGCTGCAGTGGTGGTTGTGTTTGCTCCCCCTTGCGGGCATGTGAGCGGATCATCGAATCGACCCACGTGCTGACATTGGGAGCGGACACGGCCATTGTGGCAAAGGGGTGGCGGGTGTTGGTGGATGGGCAGATGCATGCAGTGCAGCCATGGTGGTGCGGTGCTGGTGAGATGCGACGCCTTCCTTCCGTGCCCTTCTGTGCGTGTGTGTGTGTGATGGATGGATGGATGTGACACCTTGACGCAGACTGCATGTTTGTGATGGCTGAATCGATGAGTGAATGAATGGCGTCTTTATGGCCACCCAAGGCATCACATCACACATGACAACCATACACGAGAACGTGCAGTAGTGCACTCACTCAGCCATCCATACAATGAGACACAGCCAAGACAGCTACGGCTTGCAAAACAAGTCGGCAACGGTTTCCTCCGGACTTTTCTTTCGAGCAGGGCCCAGGGGCGCCTCATCTCGCAGACGAGCCGCCTCCTCACGACTCACGGCCATCTGCTCTCGCGGTGTCTGTGGTGCCTTGCCGCCGTCCTTGTGTCTGTCTTTGCTCTTCTGTCGCTCCGCTCGCAGCTTTTCGATCATCTCGGCCTTTCGCTGACGATCCACCACACGCTGAAGCGCCGCAGCACTGCATTCACACAGGCAGACAGACAGACACACGGAATGACTGTACTGTGTGTGTCATGTGTGGCGTGTGCATGGATGGCATCATACCTGCGTGCCATTTCCGTGGTTTGTGGGTTGACTGGCACGGCGCCACCCAATGCGTGGTGCTTGCCCGCCCCCTGCTTGTCCTTGAAGTGCTTCTCCTGCACACTCCACTCCTTCTGCACGCCGTACTTGCTCTCCCAAGCCTGGTCGTCCTCCACGCCCTTGCCCTTGACGCGCGGACCCGATAAAGGCGCCACATCGCTGCCGTGACGATCACCATCTTGTGCATCGTCTTGGTCAGAACTGGGTGGTGCCTTGATGTATTTGGAGAGCTCGCCCAGTGTGGCTTGCTCGAGCTTGGCGCGGGGCATGCGAGAGGTGGGGGGAGGGGAATGGGTGTCTTTGGCTTGGCGGCGCTGCTCGGTGGGCGAGTAGGCGTCTTTGCTGTAGTCGGTGAACTTGGGGAAGCGGGTGAAAGGCGTCTCGATGTGGCCCTTGCTCTGGTACATACGACACGGCACACACACCAACGACAGGCACATCACATGGGGATGGGGGGTGTCCATCTCCCTCCCTCCCTCCCTCCCTCCCTCTCCCTCTCTCCCAGCCGCAGGTAGGTAGGGTACCTGTGTCCATGCCCTGAGTTTGCCGGTCATGAGCTGCCGCTCCTCGTCCACCTCGCCAGCACTCAGGCTGCGTGGGATGGCACTGACGTCGGCGAGGCCCACCCGAAACTGAGATCGGAACACAGGGTCATTCTCCTCACCCTCGGCACGGCGGGGCAGCCCCTCGCTGGGCCGCACATCATCCGATGACATATCGACGTCCATCAGCCGGACCGAAGCAGCCTCGCTGTCGCCCCCAAAGTCCACCGAGTCGACCAGCTTCAGACCTCGGTGCTGCAGCCGAGGGGAACCGCCCACTGACTCCATGAAGAACGGGCTGGAGTCAGCGTCACCAGCAGCATCAGCATCGTGCTCTTGGTCTATCTCGATGTCTCTCTTCGGGCGTCGGGATTTGCGGCGGCCGCCTGAGAACGTAGGGGGCGTGATCGATGCATCCTGATCATGAGAGGCTGCGTCTTCGGTGGCAGAATCTGATGAGTCTGGTGATGCCCGCTTCGCCTGCATGCCAGTCATGACAGGGGCAGGGCAGCCAGCCAACAGACAGGGCACGGCAGGTGCTGTGCTTGCGAGGATGAGCTTTGTCTGTCTCACCCACCCATCCGCCCGCGGGGATGCGTACCTTCCATGCCATGAACCGGTGGTCCTCGTCGTCCGAGTCCTCTTTCTTGTCGCCGATGGTCCGCAGACGGCGGCGCCTCCCCACACTGATGCGACCACCCTCAACCAACCCTGCACACGGCTCACCCTCAGATCCAGGTGCAGAGGCCGACCGTGCGGCGGACAGCTGGGCCGCCCGTGCTTGCACATCCAGCATCGAGGGGATGCCTGACGCCGCTGGGCCATCCTGCTGCGGGGCCTCTTGTTGCGGGTCGTCTGCATCTGGTGATGGGTGGCGGGTATTGCCTCGCTGGGCGAGCTTGGAGGCACCCGCCAGGCTCCCAGAAGTCTGCCGGTCCTGACACACACCATCCACACCACACCCACAAGGAGCCAACGAGTGAGGATTGGATTGATTGGCGACGTCCGTTCGTTCGTTCGTGTGCATCGGTGGATGTGTGTGTACCCACCCCACCCACCTCGACTGCCATGTGGAAGAGGGCTTCATCGCTTTGTGCGGACGCCGTTTGCTGCGGGACTGGCCTGTCATGCTGGCCATCGCTGTCAGAATCGTCATCCTGACACCATTCATTCAGCCGCCCAACAATGAATGGCATCAGAGCAGTAAGTACGTATGTATGTTTGTTTGTCAGGGTGGCACGTGGGACAGACAACCCGGGACGAGCCCCCACCTGCTGGCGGGTGCTCGTCGCCTGTCGCTGTTCGAATTCCCTCTGTCGCTCCGCCAGGGCAGCGCGCCACGCGGACATGTCGCCCTCACCCTCACCTTGAACAGGTCCAGAGTCTGAATCAAGTCGATCACACAACGCACACGACACGACACGACGCGAGCGACACTCACGCATTGCAAGCTTGGCGGGTTGTGCGTCCCTCCGGTCTGTCTGTCTGTCTGTGTTTGTCTGTCACAAGTCTCACCAACCCAACCCAGCCCACCAGTGCACCCCGCTACCCACCTCTCGTGTGTGGTTGCGCCTGGCTCCTGCCCCTGCCAGGTCGTATCCTCAGCGGCGTGATGGTGACCGACTCGTCCAGGCTCTCCAGCAGCCCATCACGCCGGTTCACAAGACGATCGCCCAGCTCGTCGCTCACGCCCACGTTCATCAGCTCATCGGGAATGTCCCCTTCGGTCAGCTGCCGTCTGTCCGGTGGCGGCATGGGCACGTGGTGCGAGCGGTCGGCCTTGGTATGTCTGAATGGGAGTTTGTTCGGTGGCAGGACGCCCCCTGAGGAGTGGTGGGGCTGGTCGAAGGGCACCCTCTGGATGAAGGGGAGGGTGTCAATGGTCTTGAGCAGGTCGGCGTTGCCCCACAGGCTCTGGATGTAGCTCTGGGTGCGGTACAAATCCTGAAGCAACACACACGCATCAGTCAGTCGCATCAGTCAATGCATCCATTCATTTCATAAGGAGAGGGGATGGTGATGGCGTGGGCGTGTTGAATGTCGCACCGCCGGGTTGAGCTTCTTGATGTACTGCACGCCCTCAAGACCCTAGTGCCAGCAACAGAGGGACGAAACAAACAAAAACAGCTGTCCACGTGCACCGCAGCTTCCCTTCCCACCCACTCATGGAATGGACGCAAACTGCACCTTGGGTGCGACGCTGATGTACGGCGCCAGCTTGGCGGGCGTCTTGGCGAATGTGTCAGAGTTGAGGAGGTCCACCAGCGTGTAACCGCCCCTCGGCAAAGGCAGCAAGTCCAGCTGATCCTCGGCAGACTCGATCGCTGCTATGTCGACATCATCGTCCGTGCTGTCCCCGGTTGATCCCTCGCCCAGCTTGATCAGCTCGTTGTGGCCGCGGCCTGACGACACCTGAACTCGGCACGAAAGCACAAGACGGGTAGGTGGGCGGTGGGAAAGAAGTCCCGTGTGGTCTCTCTGTGTGCGTCGTGCACACATGTCACAGCACCTGTTGTGCAGGTGTGTATGTGTCGACATCTACATAGAGCTCCTTCCCGGCCGCCCCCTTCTCACGAGTCAAGCCCCTGACAGACCACCAACCATCCCAACGACATAGTAGAGTAGGAAGGGCGTGGGGGTCCACCAGTCTGACATACCTGACGTATTGGTTGTAGATAGCGTTGAACTGGATGATTTGCTCTCTGTGCACCTTGGGCATGCGGTAGACGAACCGACGCTTGACGGGCAGGTCCTCAAGACTCTCCAGGGGAATCACACGACCGTCGGACAGCTTCACCTGCGTCCAATGATCGATGCACGAGCCCACACATCTCCACCACCTTTCTTCCGTTATCCCTCCCTCTCACCCTAGCTGCCTCCCGCCCTTCCTGGCTGCCTTACGTATTCGATCTCTTTCTCTGCGGCCTTTCTCTCTTCGGAAGCTTGGTCGGGCCTCTTGGCGCTGGTGTGGTGGTCGTGGTGTCGCTTGTCGGCACGATCAGCTTCGTCGATATTGAGTTGTCCCCACTCGCCTTTGTCTTGTTCCGCCTCCTTGACCCATATGAACTGGTCCTCCTCAGGTGTGCCCGGCGGACAGATGTCCTGCGCATCGAACCAACGCTGGACTATGGCGCTGCAGGACACATGGTCACATTGATGGATGGATGGATGGAGGGATGACAGGTACACAGACAGACAGACAGACAGACATACAGACAGACAGACAGACAGACAGACAAACAGACAGACAGACAGACAGACAGACAGACAAACAGACAGACAGACAGACAGACAAACAGACAGACAAACAGACAAACAGAGAGCAATGGAGGTGTACTCGTGTTTGTGGTGTGGGTACGTACCGTTGTTTTCTGGACATATGTTTGATGGTGGCCGGGTCGAGTGTGTTGCGGAGCCACTCGGGCATGTTGAGCATCTGACACTCACAGGGGGGACAATGCGCTCGGATCTGTCTGTCAGTCTGTGTGTGTATGTGTTGCTCCCTCCCTCCCTCCCTCCCTCCCTGGGTGACCTTGGCTTCCCGTTTCCGTCGTATTTTGTCGTTGACCTTCCTCTGGATGGTGTTGGCAGCGATGCACGCCGTCCTCTTGTCCGCCAAAGGCACCTGCACAACCACACGCACACAAGCAGCCAGCGGTCACTTTCAGGAGGGTTCGATTGTTGGCAGGTGGCAGACGGACCTTGTCGATACCGGCCCATTGTGCGAGTGGTTTCATGTAAATGAAAAGTGCGTCGAGTGTGGCGTGTGCCGACTGCAGCTCCGACGGCGTCACCACCAGGTTGTACGTCTCGGGCGAGCGAACATATGTGCGGCACAACTGATACAACAACCAAATGAATTAAACCCCAACCAAGCAGAGGAAGAACGGAAGGAAAAAAACTCACATCGTCAAAAAACATATCATGGCTCTGGTTCTGCGTTCCTCTCTCTCCTCCCACCGTGTGTAGGCCGACGAGAATTCTGGAGACGTCGGACAGGTCCAACCGGCCCTCGGGCGCCTGCACATCGCGAACGACCAACGATGCAGCGCCTCAGCTCGTGTGATAGATATTGTGTCGTTTGCTGACCGCCAGGAACCTGGCACATCGGCCGCGTTTCGAACACGATCGACACGTCTGCAATGCAACGAGGATGAAGTTCCCGTGAGTGCGTCACAGAGATGCGAGCGTGTTCGGGCATTTGTGTACCCACCGTGACTTCTGGGAGTGAGAGGAAGAACCTGAGTCGCTTGCTCGCGTTGATGATCTTCTTGGGCGAGGTCTCCAGCAACGTCACACTCCTACATTCACACATCCATCCATCCATGAGATACAGACAGACATGCAGGCCTCGATCCGTGCCTACATGTCTTTAGAAGGGTATACGACGGGACACTCCATGGCGGCGAGTGTCTGCAGGTGGCGCACATCCATGCCCGTCTCGGTCAGGAACGTCTCAACCTCAAGACCCAACGACGCGTGAAGCAACGACTTCTTCAACTGACATGTAACACAACACAAACACACACACACGCACACGCACACACGCACACAAGACAGCCATTGCAAAGCGGCAGCACGTGTTGGACCTGCAGATTTATACGCACCTGTATTCTCTTTTGCGGCGTAGCACATCCGCAGCACTCGACAGCAAATTGCCCAAGGCGCTGGATGAATGCCATGGCGGCGTGGCGCTGCGACTCGAGGAAGTGTGCGGGCTGAGATCTGACCGGCAGGTGGCCCCGTATGGCCTCGAGTGCCTTGCGCTGCACCACCGCCGTCACCTTGCCCGTCGCACCAGCCGACATCACTGACTATCACAGCGTCAATGATATGAATTGCCAATCAATCAAGGATATGAGGACAGATGAACGGGACGCAGGCCGCTTAGACTCGCGTCCTGCCACCTCCTTTCCTTCCCTTCGGAGATCTGAGCTCGCAAGCTAAGCTTCCAGATCTATCCCGGCGCAGGCCTAACCGGCTTAACAGCAGCGAAAGGCTCAGAGGATGTATCGTAATCTGTACGACACCGACCCGACGACATGGAGTCCTCAGGGGCGCATCCACCAGATAGAGTACGCCATGGAGGCCGTCAAGCAGGGCACCTGTGTCGTCGGACTCAGATCTAAGACACACGTGGTCAGCACAGCACACAGCGCAAACAACACACTGGCAGGCAGGCACGCACGCCCCCCTGCCACAGGAATCAAACACGTTGTTTGTTTGTTGTGTGCAGGTGTTGGGAGCGCTGAAGAAGGCCCAGACGCAGATGTCTTCGCACCAGCAGAAGCTGTACAAGGTCGATGATCACGTCGGGTTCGCCGCCTCCGGGCTCACTGCAGATGCACGTGCGTCAGTCGAACATACTTGCTCGACAGACATAGGAAGGGGAGGGGCCCCCTGTTGAACGAACGAACGTTGATTGATGTTGATTGATGCAGGTGTGCTGGCTTCGTACATGCGGACCCAGTGTCAGCAGGAGAAGTACGAGTTCGATGAGGCGCTGCCCGTCGGACGACTCGTGGCTGACGTCGGCGACAGTGAGCAACGACACGGACGCCTCCCTGACACCCGCACCCCCACCCCCATGTGGTGCATGTTTGTCTGTGTTGTGTGTGTACCTCAGGGTCTCAGGCCAACACGCAGAGGATGGGCAAGCGTCCTTATGGCGTGGGGCTGCTCGTCGCGGGAAGCGATGTGAGCCATTCACACCTGGACGGACGGACGGACGGACGGACGGATGGATGCAACACACAGTCATCATCGGGTCTGTTGGCTTGGGTTGATTTGTGTCTGTGTCATGCATGCCTTGTGTCAGATGACTGGCCCGCATCTCTTCGAGACGTGTCCGAGCGGCAACTACTTCGAATACGAGGTGACGACCACACCACAGCACAGCACAGCACTGCAGCAGCAGAAGAGTCTTGCGTGATGAAGGAATATCGACGCATCGCATTGACATGACACAGGCCATGGCGCTGGGCAGCCGTTGTCAGTCAGCCAAGACCTACCTCGAGAAGCACTTCAAGACGTTCAAAGAAGGTAATGGACTGGCTGACTGGACGCCACACGACCTGCCCTGACCTGCCCCCTCGCTTCTTTCCTCTGTCTTCCGCGTGTGCAGTGTCTGTCGACGATCTGATCATGCATGCGCTCAAGGCTCTCAAGAAGGCATCAGAGACTGCAGACGACGAGTGAGCGAGACACTGCACCCACTCATCTACACACATCCGATGCATGCCATCCCACGTTGCGTGTGCAGGATCACTGCTGAGAGTGTCGACATCGCAATCGTCGGGGCGGAGCAGAAGTTCAAAAGTAAGCAGGAGCCTCTGGGTGTCATCCACGAGCGCCCTCTCTGTCTTCATGTGCGCGTGTGTGTGGTCAGTACTGTCGAATGAGGAGCTGCAGGTGTATTTGGATCGTCTTGCGTCCGAGGTGACGGCGGCAGAGGGCGGCGAGGCCCCCATGGACACCACTTAGACTTATCAAATCAAACCAAAGACAGACAGACAGACAGACCGACCGACCCATGGCCGGACCGTATCCATCCATCAATCCATCCGTCCATGATGCCCGTCGTTTTGTCTATGTGTGACGTTTGTTTGCATCAAATCAATGCATGGAAATGCTGCTGCATCCACGCCAGCTTGTGGATTCCCACCCCCGGGCTGGCTGCCTTTCATCCAACAAAAGCTTTGATGGACGAGTGTCCCACGTACTGTTTGGTGCGTATTGCGTCAGCTGTTGTGCGTCCCTGTGGTAGAATCTCTCCGCGTGTCCATCTGTGCGTTTTTTATGTATCCATGCCCACACAGGCCGTTCGATTAGTCGTTAGACCTTTGATGTGAGTGCTTGCGTGTTCGGCGGGTTCACCCCAACAAAAACGTCCCTTAAAAGTCTACCACACCACACCACATTCAGCTCATCTCATCATCCCTGTCTTCGCTACGCGACCGGCCCTGCCTAAAAATTCAGTCAGTCAGTCAGTCTCACACATACGCACACGCTGTACAAACAATCAATCGCCTCTCCATCGACAGACCCCATTTGATGCATCCAGACATCGACGCCCACGTACATGCATATTCAGTCCATCAAAGTGTGATCCCACGACAATCAATCAATCTGTCACGCCAGGACGGCCTCCCTGCCGCCCGCAGCTTCTTTCTCCAACCAGTCGCCATAGCCCCATTGCTCTATGGTGGTGGCGAGGTCGGGGCCGCCAGTGAGGACCACGCGCCCCTTCTTCATGACGCTCACTCGGTCGGCCTTGATGAGGTCCAGCAGCCTCTGGTAGTGGGTGATGATCAGGAATGTCTTGTCGGGATGGCTCGCCTTGAAGTTGTTGACGGCCTCTGCGGTCGTCTTGAGCGAGTCGACGTCAAGTCCGGAGTCGGTCTCATCCAAGATGACCAGATCGGGGTTCAGCATCACCATCTGCAAGACCTCGTTGCGCTTCTTCTCACCGCCCGAGAAGCCGGCGTTGATGCCGCGGTCGAGGAAGGACGGGTCGAGGCCGAGCTTGTCGAGCTCCTCAAACATCTTCATCGAGAACTCAATGGCGTCAAGGTCGTCCAGTCCCTCCCGCTTCCGCCGGATGTTGACGGCCGCACGGAGGAAGTCCGAGTTGGAGACGCCAGCGATCTCCACCGGGTACTGGAAGGCCAGGAAGATGCCGGCGAGGGCCCGCTCGTCGACGTCCATGTCGAGGACGTCCTCGCCCTTGAAAGTGATGGACCCCTCGATGACGCGGTAGTCCGGGTGGCCAGTGATGACCTTGGACAGAGTCGACTTGCCGCTGCCGTTGGGTCCCATGATGGCATGCACCTCGCCTTTCTTGACCTCCAGACTGAACCCATCCAGGATCTTGACCACCTTCTCCTCCTCCTCGCCAACCTCGGCGTGCACGTTGTCAATCCTCATGATGGTGTCGCTGGCATCCTCAGAAGCCGACATGCGCAGCAGGGAGGGCTGGCGGCTGCGAACCCTCGTTCGGGGGGTTCTGTGGACGGGGGAAGGCATCCGGAATGCTGTGCATGGCCTCGGCAGGGCGACGAGTGAGATGATGAGGGAAAGGAAAGCACACGCCACTAAGGATGTCATGCTGCGATGCTGCATTGCCAGATGCCCAGGTGGGAGGGAGAGAGCGATTTCGCGGAATGTTAAAGGGCGGCCCGAAACCTGTGGGAGGAAGGCAGCTCGCAAGTTCCGGGCAGATCTTGTAAGAATAGGTGGGAGAGAGTCGGGGAGAATGGTGAAGAGAGGATCTGCCGGGCGGTCAGTCCCGGATAAAGGATTAAGTCAATGCAACG